TCGTCACAGAGAAAGAAAAATCATTGAAATTAATTAACTTAAACTGATTTTAAATGCAATGACATAATCTGTAAATAAAAAGAAATACAAGAGGAAAGTATTTAATTTATTGTAAATACAATGGCTAAATGTACAAATAAAAGAAAATATTTAATCTACTATCCATGTTTCCAAACAATGTTTCATTTATTTTGTTATCCTTATTTCCAAACAGTACCAAAAGGTACTTCAGTTTTAAACTTTTAATTAGATTTCAACCCGCATAACCGTGCGGTATTTTAATACAAAAATATTTGAAATTATATAATAAAATTTATCAAAAATAAGTATAATTTGATTTTGTATGCTATCCAATTTTATAATAATTTTTATATGACTTATAATATTATTAAATAAAATTTATAAATTTGTATTTTTGTAACATTTTTTAAAAACATTATTATGTAAGATTACTAATTTATATATATTGTTTTATTTCTAAATTTGAAATCTATGTAAAAATTAATTAAGTTAGACTTACATAATACATAAAAAAAATTTTGGGATATTGTTAAAAGTATTTTACATAATTTTTAATTTTTTGTTTATAAATTAAAAAGGAATTAAAGTTTTATTTATATTTTATGATAGTTAAAATTTTAATCAAATAATTTTTGAAACTATATCTTTAAACAGATTCTAAAAGATTTTAAAAGATTTTGTTAGAATTTTATTAAAATTATTTATTTGTATTTCAAACAAAAATTAAAGATATGAAAAGATATTATAATGTTATGTAAAATTTTATAAAACTCTAAAGATGTTCTAAACTAAAAATATCACACATGAAGTGAATCATGACTTCTCTTTTAATATAATAGATATAAGATGATGATTTGGCTTAGACTTATTCTTGGGTTCATCCACTAGGTTGAACCTCTGGTTCATCATCTACTAGAATTGCATTATTTCATATTTTATATTTTTTTAAAAGAAAATAAAATCTTATGAAGTTATATTATGTTTCTAAAATTAAAAATACAAAAATAATAATTAATAAATATAATAATTCTTTAAAAAAAGATATTTTAACACTAAACCTTAAACTCTAATCCTAAACCCTAAACCCCTAGGTAAATCATAAACCTTTGGATAAATCTTATAGTGTTTTAAAAATTTAGTGTTTATGATTTACTCAAGAGTTTAGGGTTTATGATTAGAGTTTAGGGTTTAGTGTTTATGATTTACCCAAGGGTTTAGGGTTTAGGCAGTGTTTTGAAATCCGACCCAGACCCGCGCTTGAACCGGTAAACCCGGTGACCCAAAATAAATCCAGTTCGAGTTTTGTAAAAAATCCAAAATTTAAAAACTCGCAAAAACCCGTAAACCCCCACTAAACCCAAAACCCGATACCGGTTGAACCAATATATAAATTTTTTTTTTTAATTTTTTTAGTTTTAAGTTATGTTTTATTCTATTTTATATTCTAAATTTGTAATTTAAAATTTAGATTTTCATGTTTTAATTATTGACATTGCCGTCTTTTTATTTTTCCACTCATTTCTACGACTTTGTATATCCTTCTTCTTTTTTTTGGTGGGGGTTTTTGATTGTTTTGTTTATCATAAATCTGACATACTACATGTTCTCAGTTCTCATTAGACATTTAAATATTTATGAATTTTACATCTTGATTTTTTTAGATGTCATTACTCTTATCTTGTTATAAAAAAAAATCTAAACTAGTTTTTGATATTTTGTATATTTATACATGTTATGTTTTAAAAACATTTAGAAAATATTTAATTTTAGTTTTTATATTTTTATTTTCATAGCTAATATATATTATTTAATAAAATTTCATTTATTAGCCTGCGGTTTACCCGCGGTCGACCCAGTGATTCAGTGACCGTGTAAGTCGTCCGGTTTGGGTTTAAAAAAAATTGAGTTAGGATTAGAGATTAGGGTTTAGTGTTTTAGTGTTAAAATAATTTTTTTTAAAGAATTTTTTTGTAAAAATTTTCAAAAGATTTATGATTTACCCAGGGGTTTAGGGCTTAGGGTTTAGGATTAGAGTTTAGGGTTTATTGTTAAAATATATATTTTTTAAAAAGTATTTTTCGTTTTTATTAATTATTATTATTTTTATTTATTTTTGTATTTTTATTTTTCAAAACATAGTATAACTTAATAAGATTTTTTTATTTATTAAAATATATCAAATATGAAATAATGAAATCTTATTGGATGGTGAACCTAAAAATATCAAATATGAAATAATGAAATCCTATTGGAGGGTAAATCTAGGGGGTGAACCTAAAAATAACTCTTTGATTTAGTGGGTTGAAAAGGACCGGCAAAAGAAGAGACTTAATTAGTAAACCAAGAGATGAATCATGACTGCTGTCAATTAGTGGTTCATTGTCCAAGCGAGTCAGGCTTTTAGTCGTCAAAGCTAGACTCATGTAGAGGCTTGGTGGGAAGTCTGAAAACTGTGAGTGAGAGAGCACATGAGCTCCGTATTGCTTCCTGCCACAAATAGGGATGATTTTATTGTATTTTTGATGGTCAAACCCGAAACTATTTAAAAAAGTATGGGTAGCTCTAGGGATGGGCACGGATCGTATATCCGAATTTTTTAAAAGTATTTGTGATTTGCTTCAAATGTTATGAATATCTAATTTTGCTATTTGATTTACTTCGAAAAAATACGGATATCCGGAAAAACAAATATCCGAAAATAAATAGATATTTACAAATATTTATGGATATCTCATCCATTTTGATTATTGCAAATAATCTTAAAAATTTGATACAAATTTTCTTTGCAAAAATATTTTTTTTGGAATTATATATAAAATAAAAATTAAAAGAACTAGTGAATTTACATATTTTGTAGTTTTTAAAGTTTTGGTTACAATTATAATAACACAAAATTTAAGAAAAAAATTATAATTGTCATAAATATTTTCTCTATTTTTATGTAATAATATTATATAAGTAATACTGTGAATAGAATTTTTCAAAATCATGTGTTAGAATAATAATTTATATAATTTTATACATTTAAAATTTTAAATATAATCAAGATACACATATATTTATATATTTTCGGATCAGATCGAATATCCGTTTTTAAAAATTTTAATATCTGTGATTTGCTTCGATTTCAACGGATATTGAGTTTTAGTATTTGCTTTGATTCGAAAGTTTACGGAGATCCGGAATTTTTGGATCGAATCGAAACAAATAACGAATCGAGTCAAATTTAACAAAGAAAATGCCCAGACCTAGGTAGCTCTTTAAGAAGTAGTCGAGCCATCCTGGACAATACGGTAAATAATTTTTGACCCCACACATATTTATTCTTGGATTTGCCCCTATAAACCATTGGTATATTTGACATCTTTAACACTAAATTTAATTAGTATAATAAAAATGATCTATTATCAAATACTTCACTGAAGCGATTAAGACAATCTCTTTTACAAATCTTGTAAGATATTTGTAAATGTAAATTGCGAGTTTACAATTATAATTAGAAGTATAAAATATATCGTCACTGCTATAAGACCATCCGCATCGTTGCCTCTTAGCATGGCTCTTAGATGAAGTAATTAACTGGAGGACATTTATTCTCTTGAAAAATAACCCTAGCCATCAAGAGAGAAAAAAGAGAGATTTTTTAGTTTCAAGCCGATGGCCGGAGGCTTCTATAGCTCGACATCGGCTTGTTTAATTCTTCTTATTTCTATTTCTTTGATTTGTTTTTTTTATGGTCTTCTAGTTTGTTTGATTGTCAATTTATTTTGAATTTGGCAAAATTTTGGATTATTCTTTTGTATGGGTTTTCCAATGGATTTGGAATGAAAAAAGCTTTGGTTCAATTGAATCGTTTAGAAAAGGTAATTGACATCTACTGCGGATGGTGGCGACGGTCTTACCGGCTTCAATCGTTGATGGTTCTTTACTTGATGGTGATAGATTTTTTGATGCAAACGATAATTACTTCGAAAGATTGCATGAAATTCTATCGAACGGTAATCTCTTTAGCTATGTTATTATCAATAGTGCAATATAAAGATGTCTTCTCTCGTTGGCTCCTACTGGAGTAATAAAAAGAGAGTAGCAATCGTTCTCAACTAAGTCTGAACTGTGGTGTTTATGGATTAATATAAAGATTATCTCTTATGAGATTCAACTATTTCAAAAGCAAATATGGAGCTTTTACATGAAAATTTTTAGCCATCCATACGCTAATAGATGTATTAGTTTACTTTGGATCTCTACGGGTGTATCCCTCTTCTATATTGTTTTTGCCAATTCTCATTGTGTAAAATTATTTACCTAAATAGCTTAATAATACAATCCAACATTAAAAAACCATGGCTCTTAGACGGTGGTGAGGTTCAGGTGGGGGACATATTTTTTAAAAAACCTTCCTTTCTCTCCTTTTATTCAAGAGAAAACTCGATATTATTCGTGGGTCCAACCAATACGTGGCGATCCGCAATCGATTTCTTTTTTATTTTTGATTTTTAAATCGGACAAAATGAAAAATTAGTTTAAGAATTTTTTTTATTTTATTGCCTTAAAGATGCTCTAATAATCATTAAATTTCCAATATGACAAGGTGACTTGTATTTTTGGGTTGACAAAAAACAAAAGAGTTGTACAGTATTTTACGTATTACTTAAAGTTTTATTTTATCCAAAAAGAAAGAAAGAAGCACGATTATCCGAGGATACTGGTGGTCGTCACACACACAAGTAGGACCCACAGAAAATAACGTCCTGTGACCCACACCAGACGAGTGGTCCCCACATAGTGACGTGGGTATCCTATGTGTAAAACACACCGTAACGCTTCTCTCTCAATCTCTATCCTCTCTCTGTTTCGGCGTACGTATAAATAATAATAATCTCAGAAGATTTGTTACAGACTCTCTCATTCTTCGCAAGTTACCAGAATCTTGGATCAATCTTCTTGGTCTTTTTTGGCTTTCCGGATCCTCAGTAGTCATGGAGAGTAGCGGCAGCAGAGCCAACGTGGCTTGGACGTCGCAGGAAAACCCTAGACAGTACCGCATGAAACTCGACGTCTTCAATGAAGTTTTAGAGAGACTCCAAGAATCTAGCTACGAAGAAGCCACTCTCCCAGATTTCGAGGATCAACTTTGGCAGCATTTCAATCGTCTTCCTGCTCGGTAAACCTTTCATTACGGTTTTGTTGTCTCTGAGTATTCAACTTCGAAAGCGACCGTTTCTTTTAATAAATCAACACAAGATATGCTATTTCCCAGATATGCTCTCGATGTTAAAGTTGAGAGGGCAGAAGATGTTCTCACGCATCAGAGGTTGTTGAAACTTGCGGAAGATCCTGCAACTAGACCTGTCTTTGAAGTTCGTAATGTACAGGTAGGTACTGTTTATGATTTAGCTAACAAGTGTTTTCTTTCTTTCTTCTTTTTTTTTTCAAAGACCACCTTTCTCTTTGTTGCACAGGTTTCTCCCAGAAATGCTGCCCACGACTCTGCTGACCCAGCCTTGGAGGAAGATGCTCAAAGCTCTAGCAAACCACACGGGAAGGGGTAAAAAGATTCATCCTTTTTAAACTATTTACAACATTGTACACTTTTTAATCCTCCACTCTCTTATTCTTTAAAAGGATTCTTGCAACTCCAACTTTTGGCTCCTCTTCAAATTTTGAGGCTATTACTCAGGGGAGTAAAATTGTTGAAGTTGATGATAGTGCTGTTAATGCAGCATTGGCTACTCGGTGAGGCTTCTTTATTAAAGTGTTTTTTGTTTTTCTGAATCATGTTTTTGTACATGGATTCCTAACTTGCTTTCCTGCCTATTTTGCAGACCGATGCATGAGATTACCTTTTCCACCATAGATAAGCCTAAACTTCTTAATCAGGTCGGTGGTGCTTCGTTTAAAATCACTGTTTGCCATGATCTTGATACTTCGTTACAGACCTGTCATGTAGAGGATGGTTGTATCTTCCATTTTTTTTTTTTTTTTTTTTTGTGAGATGGCTTTCTGTTTCAGCTTACTTCCCTGCTTAGTGAGCTTGGATTGAACATTCAAGAGGCTCATGCTTTCTCCACTGTGGATGCTTTTTCTTTGGACGTCTTCGTTGTTGATGGTTGGTCTCAGGAGGTATGATTTGAACGTTTTTGGACCCATCATGCTACTTGTTACGTTAGTGAATGCCTTTGTAAGTTATTATAACTTCATGTATTTGTTGTCACTGAACTGGTTGATAAACTTTAGCAACTTCGGAATTATAGGAAACAGATGGTCTAAAGGATGCCTTAGGCAAGAAGATATTAAAGCTTAAGGTAATTTCTCTATCCTGATTCTCAAATTAATTTTGGAGGCTGCAACGATTATAGTTATTGCCTAGTATGACGCTGTACCTATATTTTCCGTTGGCTGTGTTCTACAGGATCAACTTGGTTCAAGACAGAAGGCTATTTCTTTCTTTGAGCGTGACAATTCAAGCAACTACCTGATACCCGCCTGCATTGAAATACCCACGGATGGAACTGACGAGTGGGAAATTGACGTGAAACAGCTCCAAATTGAAAAGAAAGTGGCATCTGGTTCATATGGGGATCTGTGAGTTTTATTGTTATGTTTAAATAAGTGTTGATTTTTTAATCCAGAAGTGACACTAATATGTATCTGATTCCTATGCAGGCATAGAGGCACTTATTGCAGTCAGGAGGTTGCTATCAAATTGCTCAAGCCTGAGCGTGTAAATACGGAGATGCTTAGAGAATTTGCTCAAGAAGTTTATATTATGAGGTCAGTGCAATTAATTTGAATCATGATGTGGAATGCGTCGTAGTTTGCGCTGATATGTTTAGTTCGTAGTTTATGTACAGAAACTTAACCATGATGCCCTTGTCTTTCGTGCAAGTTGTAGTCTTGTTATTAACCTCTTATGCTCTATAAAATAACCAACCTGCATGTTTCATTGTTCTCAGTGTCAATTTGTTGCTGATATTTTCTTACTGTCCCCAGGAAAATCCGGCACAAAAACATTGTTCAGTTTTTGGGTGCATGCACACTATCTCCGGCTCTCTGTATTGTGACTGGTAAGTATCAGTAGATGCGAATTTGAGTAGTAATTCACAAAAAAACATGTCTCATTTGAGTATCTATCTTTTGTGACAGAGTTTATGGCTCGGGGGAGCATTTACGATTTTCTTCACAAGCAGAAATTCGCTTTCAAGCTTCAAACATTGCTTAAAGTTGCACTTGATGTTGCAAAAGGAGTGTGCTACCTGCATCAAAACAATATCATTCACAGGGACCTTAAGACTGCAAATCTGCTTATGGATGAACATGGAGTAAGATTTGCTCTCTCTTTTGTTATGTTTCTTGTAGAAGCAACAGATTCCCACCTCTCTCTTTCTCTGGGGTTCTAAAAATTTGGGTTATTTTTTTTGAGCAGTTTGTCAAGGTTGCTGATTTTGGAGTTGCCAGAGTACAGATTGAATCAGGGGTGATGACAGCTGAAACAGGGACATATCGATGGATGGCGCCGGAGGTATGAAGTTCATAACTCACTTACTTTGAGCCTGTGGAACTTATTGGAACAGCCTATGGTGTGCTTTGGCTCTGTCTCTCTCTCCCCTGTGTAAACTTTCACTCACTCACTTTAACAATATACTTCTGAGATCCAGGTGATTGAACACAAACCTTACAGTCACAAAGCAGATGTGTTCAGTTATGGGATAGTGATATGGGAACTTTTGACTGGTCATGTAAGAGTTCTGCTTACAAATATTTCTCCGCATTCGACATGCTTATTAAAGATACTGACTAATTGTAAATGGAAACAGATCCCATATGCTTACTTGACTCCACTACAAGCGGCTGTTGGCGTTGTTCAGAAGGTATTGGTATTTATTTTAAGAACGTTGCATTTAGAATGTTTCAGAGTCTAAACTGAATTCTTTTTCTTTCTTTCTTTGTCAGGGGCTTAGACCAAAGATTCCAAAGAAGACACATCCGAAAGTGAAGGGACTTCTACAGAGATGCTGGAACCAAGATCCAAAAGAAAGACCAGAGTTTGAGGAAATCATAGAAATGCTTCAACAGATAATGATTGAGGTAAACGTCGTACCGTGATGATAATCCAAGTGAAAAAAATAACCCTTTAGAAGCGAGATTTCTGAGAGCAGGATGTGGTGGTGAAAACAAGCAGGTTGGAGATGAAGACCCTGCAGACAAGGACAAGCACTGTCTTGGTTTCTTACAAGCGGCCTTCAGAAAGCCCCGTTACTAGTTCTGATCCGATGAAGCAATATCACTCAGTTCACTCTCTTACATATTGACTTGTACAGTTTTACTTTTCCTTCTTTTAATTGGTTGGTGTGGGGGGGGGGGGGGGGG